CACAATACTGATAAGTGATTAATAAAAGTCAAAAAACCAAAGAGGTCACCTTAATACCAAAAAAAAAAAAAAAAAAAAAAAAATCACCAAATGGGAAAGTTACTGGGCAATAACAAATATCTAATGAAATGCTAAAACATTTAGATAGCTATACTCTAAATTTATTACTAAAAATCTTCAATGCATATCTTATGCTCAATACAATTCTCAAAATGTGGAAGCAAAACAATATCTACCCAATATCAAAAAAGCAAAAATTATTTGAAAAACTCAATGAAACATGCTCAATTACTTTAATTGAACATATATGAAAAATCTTCACTAAAACACAATAACAAAAAGATTAAACATAATATTTAACAAGTATCCAATCCTACATCCCAGCAACCATGTTGCAATTCCAAACACATCAACACAAACACCAATCTGCAAAATTTTTCAATGTTCTTGATCGGTCTGCTCTGCTCTGTTATAGCACAGAAAAACCAAGATCAAGACCATAGACTAATCAATGCTGTGATGCGATAAATCTCTAAAAATAGAATTTGTTATTGGCTAATGCAATCGGTAGGACAATCGTGTTTCACTAAACTTAGATCGCCGTTAAAAAATTTATCCGGCTACCATACAAACTTAATAAATCGGTTCTCATAACCCGGCCGTGTCAGAATTTACAAAAAATTTCGTATACTTACTATCTGGGTAAGTTTTATGTTATAGGTGTGAAAAAAACAAAGAACATGTGACAGCTAATTGACCAACTTATTAAAAAAAATTTCCACATGATTTTTATTTATGGTTGACAATTGGTTATCAATAAGTAGTAGTAGATTATCTTCCTGCGGAAAAATATGGAAGTTCAGTGGGGCTCCAGCTTCAAGTCAAAAACACTGGCTAACGTCTCGTCAAAGGCCTGGCTCCATTTTGTAGCTGGAGGGTAGAGTATTCGTATGATGCCTTTATCGACCTTCAGCCTGTCACTATCCGAGTTCTAAATTAAAAAGTGCATTGGTCCAATTCTAGTATTGGAGGGATGGTCGGAGCAACAGTTACTTCACCTTTAGATGTTATGAAAACTCGGCTACAGGTACTTACGCAATGAATATCTCAAGTACTTTCCGAATAGATCGCTAACAATTAGGTAAATTTTTGCCTTTTATCCAGTCATCTTTATATAATCCCAAATCACAGTCTTCACAACCTTTTATTCGATCTACAATCCCGATCCTTGGACATTTCATTGACACAGGGAGATTATTGACGTACATCCTTTTTCGCTAATATCAGTTATAAATATAGTTTCAATTGTCAATTAATAACTAATTAGTGCTATCAATTTTTGATTTAGGTATGTGTATCGTAACGAAGGTTGGAGGGCATTGTTTAAAGGATTAGGACCAAATTTGGTTGGCGTAGTACCAGCAAGGTAACAACGAATTATATATCGATATTGATTTAAATATGTTGTCACATTATAAAATTTTAATTATCACAAATTTATAGAGCGATAAATTTTTTTACATATGGAAATGGCAAACGAATTTTAACGAATTGGAATGGAGGAGAAGAAACACCTTCAGTACAATGTACAGCTGCGATTTTCGCAGGTTAAGTTTATATTATAAGCCTTAACTATATTAGTTTTCATTGTTTCTTCAATTATTTTCTGAATCTTTTTTTGGAAACATCGAAACAGGAATCACGACATCTACCTTAACAAATCCTATATGGCTTGTGAAAACTAGAATGCAGCTTCAAAGCTCCTCTTTGACTTCACAAAGACCTATCAAATATAAAAATTCTTTGGATTGTGTGATTAAAGTTCTGAGAGAGGAAGGTATACCGGGATTATACAAAGGGCTGAGTGCTTCATATTTGGGTAATGTCTGATCAGAAAGAAAAAAAAATACAAAGTTAAAAAAATTTTAAAGCTATCTAATGTTATTTTGATAATTTTAGGTGTGACCGAAAGTACGATACATTGGGTTGCCTACGAATATCTTAAGTCGAAACTTTCGGAACGTAGAAAGAGAGAGCAATTTATATCCGGTGAATCCGTACAACCTTTTTATCTGCGCATGTTTGATAACCTGCTTGCTGCAGGTTTATCTAAATTCGTGGCAGCATGCATTAGTTATCCTCATGAAGTATGTTCGATTTATTTCATTTATATAGGTAATACATTTATGAAAACAGAATTAATTAATTCCCCAATAATTCTTAAAGGTCATACGGACTCGCATGCGACAACTCCCTGCAGACGGTGTACTTAAATATACTGGAATTGTTCAATGTTTTAAAACAATACTTCGAGAAGAAGGCATCTCGGCCTTTTATGGTGGTATGACAGCACATATGATGCGTGTTGTGCCTAATGCAGCAATAATGTTCTTTTGTTATGAGTCGATTTTGCATTATGGTCAAGTTAATAATAATAATTCATAAGATCGGAAAGACTTAATATAAACACTCAAGATTAATTTGTTAATCCGTAATGGAATATTTTAAAACTTTTTCTTTGTATATTTATTAATGTCAATGATTGGTTAGATTGATGAGTGTATACAGGGCATAAATAATGTTTTAATGCCTCTTTCAGTGTTTTAATTCTTCGATTATATTCCTCGCTCCTTGCTCAATTAGAATTTTTGAAACTTCTCTGCCTAACTCATTAGCCGCGTTGATTTCATCGTAGTCGACATACTTAGTTGCTTCAGCACGAATAATTTTTGAGCCATCTAGTTGAGCAACCAAGCCTTCAAGTCTTAGCATACGTTTACCTTCTTTTCCCTCTATAAAATTTGTGTTAACACCAATTGGAACACTACATCCACCCTCTAAAGCCTTCAATAACGACCGTTCAGCCATGCATCGTAATTTCGTGTCTTTATCTTCCAATACTGAAAGCAATTCAATGATGTGTATATCATCGTCTCGACATTCAACAGCCAATGCACCTTGTCCAACAGCGTGTAATATAATACTCTGTGGGAGAATTTGTGATATTCTGTGCTTCTGACCTAATCGTATAAGACCCGCGGCAGCTAATATTAAGGCAGAGTACTGCCCATCTGGACTATCTAATTTTGCAAGCCGCGTATTCCTGAATAAATATAATATTATTACACCTATAGATTCTCTTCATAATCTATAGATACTAGGGAATAAAAGAGTACATACAGATTACCTCTCTTGGAAAATGTAAATAAATTAGTTTATTGCTCTTAAATAAAGATAATTAAAATATCCTCTCATACATACAATATTTTGAAAGGTCAAATCAGGAAATGCCCTTTTCAATTGTGAAGACCTTCTAACACTGCTAGTTCCAACAATGCTACCTTTTGGTAAGTCCTCTAAAGACTTGGCAATTAGACCTTCTTTAATAACTACGGCATCGTTCGGATCCTCTCTTTTTAATATCGCACCAATTGTCATTCCTTTAGGTAAAGTAGTGGGCAAGTCTTTCAGACTATGAACTACTAAATCAACAGTTTTATTTTCCAAAGCTATTTCAAGTTCCTTCGTGAATAAGGACTTTTCACCAATTTGATATAAAGGTTTATTAAGAATTTGATCTCCAATGGTTGTCATGCCCAAAATTGGAAATTCGAAATTAGGGTAGGCTCGTTGTAATGCTTCTTGAACTTCATTAGTTTGTGCCAGAGCAAGTTGTGACTTGCGAGTCCCAATAGTGAAAGTTTTTTGGATTGACATTAATGTTAAGAAAGTCGAAACTTGTCGTTACACGAACCATTAAAAAATCTTTATAAAACGGGAATAAAACATCAAGTACCCCACAAGATTACTAATTCTCGTTTCATTTCAAAAAAGAAGCACGATGGACAATCTACGTAACACGAACTTTTTTTAGATTATCATTTTAAGGCTTTACTCATTTGGGGGTCCCTTAAAGCGGCAGATTTCACATACTGCATAAATTGAATTCTTGATATCTAAATAACTTACTAACCATAACTATATCAAAAACGTAACATTTTCAACCCGGCTTTAAGTACCCCTTATTTGTCCTCATAGAAGGATTTTCGTCTGATTGGCTGATGCAAATCAATTACCTGGGTAACTTTAGAGCAGTGTTGGCAATTAGACAATTGGACAAGCAACTAATGAATATAATTGGTTGGTCCAATTGTAAGAGTCCAATTATCCAATTAATCATCTAAGGCTATTGGTTAATTTGATTTTCCAATCGTCCAATTGCCAACACCGCTTTAGAGTGCTTTTTTGAGAACGTTAACAAAAAAGTCATGCTTTAGACGAATGTTTGTATTCACTCTTCAAAAAGAATCAAAAAAGAATCATGCTCCCCGCCACTTTAGTCAAAAAATTCTCAATCATAAGCTTATGTGGCAACGAAATCAATACAATGTAATTAAATCCCGAAATACATATGCAAAAGTAAACGCGATTATGTATGCGAAAAATCGAGCCACCAGGGTCAGCTTTATTTATATAAAAAGATAAAATTAAAATTACAGGATGTGTTATATTCAAAAAAACTTGCACTTTGAGTTAAATAAAAAAATAAATAAATCAAGCTGATACATTATATAAAATTATCATACATAATACATTTATTGCTTCTATCAGGATTAATATTGGTTATAAATAGATAGGATTTAATATAACATAAATTTGTAATGTTTTTGTGTATTTTTTTTGAAGTAAAACATTAATAATAAAATTTCAGATACTAACCTGTTTAGAGTTAAATAGTAGTTGAAATAGCAAGGATTGATGGTTAACTAAATTTTGTTCTTATAAACTTTTGGTTGGTATTTTAAAGTTTTACTTTTTATCAATACCAAAATAAAAATTTTATAGTATATATAATGCATTATATACAATTGTATGATTTTTCAATATAACTTTTTATAAACATTGTAATAAATTTACTTGCATTAATTTTTATCTATAGCATCGAAAATTGTCTATTGTATTTTATATAAATAGATAGCAATTCCAATCACAAAAGTTTGAGAAAAAATCCAAAAAAAAAAGAAAAGAAGCATATCTCACATAAATGCAATCATAATCAATTGTAAAATATTTTTTTTAAAAGACTAAGCAAAAATTACTAGCTTTCTTGATGATGTCAACAGTTTCAAACTTAATTTATTATTTTTAAATATAAGTAAACAGATGAAAAAAAGATAATTTACAAATTTTATAATATTTATTTTTTGAATTAAGTTAAATGTTGTAACATTTTGGTTTATTTGAAGAGTTGTATATTAATAAATTTTAAACATTATCAGAAATATAAATGAATTATGAAATAAAAAGAGCAAGAAAATCACATAAATTATAAAACAATATTGAACTTACAAATAACACAAAGGTTATTTATTATACTTATTACTTTAATTGTTCAATTTAAAAACAATTATATCTTTATACTAGTTGAAATTAATTAGAAGTTATTGATCTTGTTTTTTATATTTAAGTGTTTAAAGACAGCAATCTTGAGAATAATAGTTGGCTATGGGTTCTTTTAAAGTTTGCAAATTAAAATCAAATACATATTTTTAGATTTAAATAAATAATATTCAAATTACATACATTATTATTGTATAGATTAAATATTAAAGTTAGCAGATTTAATAAATATTAAGACATATAACAGGCATTAGATTTTTTGTACTTATTAGGATTCTGCAATTTGATTTAATTTAATTTTATTTAATTAAATATTTGACTTCAAATCAAATTCAAATTTGAAATTTTTAAATTAAACTAAATTCAAATATAATCAAATTTGATTTAATTTAAAAATTTATAATTAGATATTTAAAATTATAATCTATTTACTTAAAATTTTATTAAAAGAATACTTTTACTTAAAAGTTCAAAACCAATTAATATAATAAATTTTTTTGTAAATTAAGTTTTATCTTTATTAATTAATATTTTAAAATTTTTTTAAATTAAATCAAATTTAAATATTTAAATCAAATATTTAATCAAATTAAATTAAATATAAAATTCTTAAATCAAATCAAATTCAAATTGATCTAATATTTAATTTGATTTGAATTTAAAAAACTCTAATACTTACTTGTTATTAAGTTATACAAACCTATATTCAATATAATTAAGATCAAAAAAGATCAATGATTTCTCTTTCCTGACCACTTGTTTTTAGAGTTGAGAGTAATTTAGAAGAAACAAAATTAATTTATCTAAGAGCTCTTTTATTTTTAAAAACTGTATTAGAACAAGAGTATCTTCTTTTGTTTCTAAAAAATGTAATACTTCTACTTTTGAGATTTGCAAATGCAAGAAAATTAAGTTTACTAACTACTTCAATATTTTTTCTTTTTTTTAACTATCCCCAATGCATTACATTATGGGGCATGTGTGGCACTCTAATTTTCTTTATTAACTTTAATGTTTGGAACCTACAGGTTTATATATTTAGTTGCTATATACATCACCAATGGTGTTCTTTAGCCCTACTATATCATATCATTAACAAGTTTATTACTATTGTGATAATTCGAATCTCTGGCCTCATGATATAAGACCTCTTACTCAAGTCTGCAGTTCCCTATCAACAATGGTCCTTTCAGGTTCTGTCTCCTTATCTTTATTGCCTTTTATAGTAATTTTCTAATCTGGAATCCTTATGTTATTGATGTTTCTTGTTGGATTATCTTCTTATCTGAGCATTGTGTAACCTTATGGCTATGTCACTTGACTTGTTCTTGTTGTAGTACTTTGTCCAAATTTGGAAATAAACAATCCTCATAGATCATTCATTCTTGTAATATTCTTGTCTGGAAGTAGAAGTGAAAAATCCTCTTAAGATCATAACAATCATGGTCTCGATACAGCTTTTTTTCCTAGTTGGAATTGAACTGACAATCTTGTGAATATGACCTGAGAATGCTAACCACTGCACTATTGACCCGCAGGTCTATTACTTCAATATTGAAAAGCTTACTGTATACAACAAAAAAGACTCTCATTCCAAAGAGAAAACTACTATAGCAAACAGTTATCTAACAGTTTCAGCAGTTTTTAAACAACTAAACACTAATGACAACATATTCAGTTAGGATAAACAAGTCTCTTTAGAAAATATAGAGGGTCTCTCTAAAGAAAAAGAAGATCAAAACAAGAAATTGGACATGTCTAATTTTGAAACATATAACAAAGAACCTAATAACAATAAAAACTCAGCATTAACAACAACAATACATGTAAACCCATATAAGATACTACTAACAGAACTAAGTTTAACTAAAGTAAACAAAAGCAAAGAAACTGCAAACAAACTTTGGATGAGCTTCTTTGCTAAAATTAAAAGAAGACAGTCAACTTTTTCTTCTTTCTTACCAAAAAATAATATAAAATTAAAAAATAATAATGCTCTTATCATAGATATTCAATATCTAACAGGCTTACTAAATGAAATAATA